GGGGTAACGTTTGAAGACACTCGAGAACAACACCTCTGCCTGAACTCTACTGCAGGTGTGAAACACACACTACATCAACAAGCATGGCATCGGTTAAATGAGGACAAACGACAATATTTTCTACACGGCAGTTCACTACCAGTGGTCAACTGACCAACACAAGTTCCTACCTTTCGGGCCTGTCCGTAGAAGCGCACGTACGGTGGAATGTCATAGGTGCGACGCGAGGAGCAAACACAACCCATGATGGCACGAGTCCGAAGACAAACACCACAGAACACATACGCGCACTAGCACGCATGCAAACGTAAAACGTACACCTACGTCGGGTGTTGCCAGCGTGAACAGCAATGATCGTCAGAAGGGATGTTTTTGTTATTCCCCTAGTTTCCTCCCTAATCGAAGTCTCCCTAATCGAAGTGGAAGCGAGTCGGGACCAGAATCCAGAGACACTGCAGTAGTGCTGGCTCCCTCTTCGTCCCCCTGAACAAAATCCCCCCTGCCGCCGTCGTCACTAGCCGCTGCCACCACGGCGTGACACAGGGGGCTTTGTCGCCTCGGTGCCAGATATAGTCACAAGCAATGAAATATAAAAGAAACCGGACGGAGCTTCTTCAACAACCACAACCACCACTACTGTGACGACGACGACATCGACAGCGACAAATCGTTTTCGTTCTCTAGTGTCGCCGTGAGGAGGAGTTGACACGACACGACCTACTGGTCCAGAAACGATCACGACATGGCTCTCGTACAAATCGCTGTCTCTGGATTCTCGAGTAAAGTCTAGCTTTCTCAGTCATTAGTCTGACTCTATAGCAATAACCTGCTGCCGCTTGCGTCACACGCAGGATCAGGCATCGTCAAACCCGAGCGCCGGTCACACCACACAACACAACACGCTTTCTTTTGTTTTTCGGACTAGATGTACTTCCCGATCGGACCCAAAACTCTAAACTGCCTGTTTCAAACCATAATAGGCCGACGACCCGTAAAATCGGCCAAAATTTATGGGATATCTTGCATCCCTCGAACGAAAAAGAAAATACCCAACAGATAATGAACGTTAAAGTAATCATTACCAAAGGCGAACAGCAGAAGGGTCAAACTATCGGTATTGTATAACAAGTTTCGAGAAAGTAAGTAAGGGGGGGTGGGGGAGGGAAAGGGGAGGGGGAGCATGACAGTGTAAGAAAATAACCGCCACAATGAGCGGAAAGCCCGCAAGCCTGGCGTGACACCATTTTCAGATGATCCCATTCCAGAACCACGGAGAGATTAGCGTGTGCGGGGGCGATGGGAACGGAAAAACACACAGGAAAGTCGGATGATGCGGGAGAGAGGGAGGGAGAGAGACTGGTGTAGCGCGCGGTTTAATCATGCCAGCCACAGGCTAGGTGCTCATTGGTGGAGCGAGATCACGCGCCCGGTCCCTCGCGCACGCTCCGCCATCGATCACCCGAGGCCAGCCGCTATTTTTAACCCCAGAAAGTGTGTTGACTAGTTATTTTAAGAAACTTTGCATTCCCGTTCCTTAACAGCGCGCGGCGTAGGTGCAAGCGTGAGTAGCCACAGACGGATTGTGCCACAGACGCGTGGTATAGTACGCAAGTCTACGCAGTTGGCTCACTCGCTGGCAATGCCATCGTGGCGCTCGTTGAATAAATATTTCGTGGAACTCGCCCGAGGTCCCACGTTGTTTTGATGATGCAAGGGCAGACCTGGCTCAAATTCGCGCAGTGGCCCTCCGGATTTCCGGACGCTGTTTTTAATGTCATGGGCATATTATCACAATTGCTATTAAGTGGTACAGAAGAAAATAAGTGGTGTGTGGAATGAACAAACGTTTTTTTTTTTGGGGGGGGGGGTGTCATGCGGGCACGTTGGTCGTGTCCTTTTGGTTTAAGTTTTCGGGGAGTTCACGGTCCCAAAATCGGTTACTTACACGAAAGAGAACAAGTGTCGACAATTATTGTTTTAGGGGGTCAATCCTGCCTGTCCCCCTCTCGAAAAACAAGAAAAAGCCACAATAAACACACTTGAGCAACACAGCTTTTGTCACCTTTATTCCCTCGTCTGATGACCTGTTTCAGTTTCAGTACGAGTTTTGCGGGACTCGCTGCACAGTTAGGTTATATACGTGCCGAAGATTAAAGAGGTGTTGCTAGATAGTAACATACAAAGGAAAGAAGGAAGGATAGGTATGATGTTTGACAGAAAAGAAGGAGCAAAGCACCCGTCACCACCCACTTCTGATCACATAATTTTTGACGGAGGGAAAAGATTGAAAATAAATGCGAATCGACCTGACGTAAAGAAAAATGCATTATTATTCGTTGAAAAGCCTGCAACTACTGTCCAGGCGTGGCCAAGAGATAATTGCATAATAAGGAATCTCGTGTCGCGACTGCGAAGAAAAACTAAAGTATATGACCTTACTGGGCTGTTTATTTTGCTAAAACTTTGCAGCGGACATAAGAATAAAAAGAACTACCATTTCTTGTTGATTGAACACTGATTTCACGCTCTAAATGCTCTTTCACATTAGCATGGGACTTAGTCGACCTCGGGCCCGTTGTTCACAAAGCGTGAAATGCCATGTTAACCTCTCGTCTGACTCGCCACTTACAAATAGGGGGAAAAAAGCGTACGATGTGCTCAATGGCCTGGACTTTGCACCGATTGGCGAGATCCCAAAAGCAAATTATTTGACTGTTTTTAACCTCCAAGCTACCTGGCCTAGGGACTGCCCTACACTGTTTGTAGAATTGTGTAGCATGTCTGTTAGTGAAAGGGTTAATATAGTAACACATGTTATAGTCTTATTGTTGGGTTGCATTGAGAGAGAGAGAGAGAGAGAGAGAGAGAGAGAGAGAGAGAGAGAGAGAGAGAAAGAGAGAGAGAGAGAGGGGGGGGGATGGCAAAGAGTAAGAGAAGAAAATAGTGCGTGACTGTGCTTGTGTGAGTACGTGTCTGTCGGAGTAATTAAGTGCGCGCGCGCGCGCGCGCGCGTGTGTGTGTGTGTGTGTGTGTGTGTGTGTGTGTGTGTGTGCTTTTGATCGATTGAGTAGATGCGTGCTCGTACGTCGATAAGCATGAATTAATGTGTATGTAAGCTCATGCCAAAATGAAATAACATAAAATGAAATAACAGCTGTCACATGTCAAAGCGGAGCCCCAACCACTCAACGCTTCATGCTAATTATTCCAACTCTGCCAACATATAAATGTCCCCACTCTGCCTGGATGGGTTACGGTTTTAGCAGGAAGCATCAAAGTGCAAGTATCATATTACATTAGCTCGGGACGTCGAGGCTCTGTGAGCGAGTAGCTGACTGGTACTCTCTCTCTCTCTCTCTCCTTCTCTCCCCCCCCCCCTCTCTCTCTCCCCTCCACGGTCACACACCTCCCGTCTTTTGTTCCTTTTGTATTTTTTTGGTGAATGCCATGCCAGCGTTTCGTAACTTAATGTTTACATGTGAATGTATTGGGTGTAAGTATCACATAAAATAATACATAAATATGTATGTATGTCTATATGAACAAGTCGACATAAGGATAATATGCATTTTGAATAAATACGTAATATTTTTACATAAAAACAAACACATACACACATACAAAGATACATAATAAGCATATTATGTATACACTCTTTACAGAGTGGGGGTGGGAAAGAAAAAAATGGGGAGGGGAGGGGGAGAAAAAAAAGGGAGGGGGGGGGGGGGGT